TTCGTCTTCGGAGAATTCGTCTGCGGAAAGCGTCTTCGGGGTCTAATCCGTCTTCGGGGGCTAATTCGTCTTCGGAGAATTCGTCTGCGGAAAGTGTCTTCAGGGTCTAATTCGTCTTCGGGGTCTAATTCGTCTTCGGAGAATTCGTCTGCGGAAATCGTCTTCACATTGCGGGAGGAGAGGTGGCTGTGCTTGAATGTGTCTTCGTAATGTGTCTTCGTCTGCGGGTGGAAAAGTGGGACCCCCACAGCGGCTGCAATGCACTTTCGGCCCCCTTTCCGCTCCCTTCCGCTCGGCCGAGCAGCACACCGGGACTGTCGACCCCGATTCAGGTGCCCGATGATGCCAAAGTAGGTGCAGTTTCCACCCGGAGTGTCTCAGTCGAATTCGGATGGTCGCTGGGAGTAGTCCTGGAGTCCCCAGCGCGTCCCTTCAGATGGGGAGCTGCGTGCCTTCGAAGAAGTTCGGATTCTTCGTACAAAAGGAGTAGTGAAGTTATATGGGGATGTCCTTGATCTTAGACGAATCAGTTCGTGTGTCTGTGTGTGAGATGTCCAAGACATTGGGCAAAACAAGACCAGCTATATCTAATTGTTTAAAGTACATCAAAGCTTTTCTGTGAGCTGTTCAGCTTTGATCAAAATATATATATATATATGTATACAGAGATTATAGATCTGAGATATGACTAGCAGGAAACATGAACGTGGAGACTCTGCATCTCCCACCAACACACCAGCACTTGAGAGGAAAGTCGAACCTCTGAAATGAAGAGACTGCAACCCTCCATCTGCAACCACAGAAACTGGCTTCCATGGAGGAGCACCAATCAGCACATTGCTGAATAAAGCCTGACAGCATGTCTTGCAGTTGCAACCGCTGACGAACGCGCGATCGATCCATGTTCGCACCTCTGGGCCCCAAGCCACATCTTTTTCGGGGTACCCGGTAGGGGGAGAGTATGTAGGTATGCTCAACCACGATATAAGACTCGCCACTTGCGTCCCCACCACATGTACCGTTCCCGGAATAAGCCACGGATTGTACCAACGGTGAAGCAAATGAAAAGCGAAGCATCTTCAACCCTGAACAGGACGGAAAATGGATGGAATCGATTGATTGCTTGTTGCGTAAGCAATTCTTCACTTTTTGATAGAGGTTTTGACTTTTTGCGAATCACATGGCGGTATAAGGCGAATCACACACAGTTTTGTGAGAGGATACCAAAACAATGTCAAGACGAACGTTGAGCGGAAATTGCTGATCATGCCACACACTACGGGGCTTCGGGTTTTTGAATTTTGGCCTCTGGAGAATCAAATGCCGGGCATGTTTCTTCTCGTCACTCTAATCCATGTGGAGGAAGAATCGTTCGTTGACACCCATGCTCACATTCGAAGTAGCTCAGCAGACGAAACGTCTTAAAGGACCAAAACTCCTGGAGCACGACCCATGTGGGGCACGCAAGCTCTCGCAGCTCTCGCCTCCCATCTCCACCCTCTCGCCCCGGGATTCTCGCCTCCCATCCGGTAGCCCATTAGGGTCCATTCGCTATACCACCGGTCTCCTGAGCACAAAAACGAGACGAGGGATAGACTTGCCAGGCTTACCCCTTTCGAACCCAACCATGGTTTTCTCCAACCATGATCCGATCCCAGAATCGGAAACTGCAAGGACACTGTGATGTCTGAGGGCAAAACAGTGACGTCAGTTGAGCCTTCACGGTTTGATGAGAAAAGGGGTCATCAGCCGAGTCCCTTGCTCTTCGCGACGGGTGGTCGTGTGCTTGCGAGAAACAAAAAGGGCTGAGAACCAACCCTTCACGGTGACTGGTGGCCGACCTCACCGCTTCACGGCTTTCGGTGGCTGAAACCTCCGTAGCTCCATTTTTTCGTGGAGAATGGTGAGTGGCTTGTCCTCGACCCTGGCAGGTGAGGAGCACTATGACTGTGAGGGTCAAAAAAGATCAGCAAATCGTGCTGCTCAAAATTCCGAATCCCTGCTGAAAGCGCCGCAGCCTCTCATATGTGGTCCCAGCGCAATATATGAAACGAAAAAGAGAAGCCCCTGAATGGGACGTGACCAGGACTTGGCCGTGTGCTTTATATAAGTTCGACTAACCAAACCTCCCAAGGATGAGTGTGTGTCTTCCTGCTTTTTGCAATGAAAAGTTGAAGATCTGCCTCAAGGAACTGCCCAGTTGGCACAGCTGAAGAGCTCAAACATCCTGATTTGGGAGTTGCTTCCAGGAAAAGGTTCCAGTTTCCTGCACTTGAAGGTCAACTCCACCTGGAGGTGGATAGACCCATTGCGATCCCTTGTTCATGGCACATAATCTAAAGAGTCCTTGAATACACATGGAGACTGCCAAGAGGCCTGCGCAGCGAGTGCGCCCATCGCCATAAAGCAGTTTCCAATTGGGTCCTGCGAATGGTTGAAGTTGCCCCCGACATACAACCACCCATTTTGCGATTCGTTGTCCCAGTTTCAGAGTATCATTCATACCTCGGCTTCAGGTATATAGATGTCCCTTGACCGGCCTTGGCTCGCGAACTCCTGGAGATATTTTCCAAGCCACATGTTGAGTTTGTACACTCCTGGCAGAGCGTGTTGCGAATGCTAGGAATGGGGGCATCCATTCGTTGCGCCTTGGCTCTTGAAGCCGACTCGGACTCAAACCCATGTGGGCTTGAAGAGGACCAAGATGGGCATCGGTCATGGTGGAACTCTGGACCATTTCAGAGTGCACTTCCTGGGAGGTTCACGCACATTGTTTTAAGGGGTTCTAAGTTACTCTCATCTATCCGGCCCCTTCTCTCATCTATCGGGCCCATTTCTCTCATCTATCGGGCCCGGTGCTGAAATGTGACTCTCATGTTTAAGACAAATCCTCCAGTCCAAGCGCAGATCCCACATCAACCTGTGTAAAAACCTCGAAACTCGTCCCAGCCCTTCCGCAAACCGAAGAGAGTGTTCTTCCTTTCCCCAGACCAACGCGCGGCGCGATGTTCGCGCGAAACCCCAAAAACGCCTCCGGTGGTGTCCGGATGCCAGGTCCATCCCGGGTCTCGTGTGGTCATCCTGAGACCGTGGCGGTTGGGGGATCCGGAGACGCCCCGGAACCGGTGGAGCCGGCGGCACCACGAGTCGAACACCGGTGGAGCCGGTGGGGCGGGTGGAGATTGCTTGGGGCGGTATGGAGCGGGGCGAAGCCGGAAAGGAGGTGCCATTGGGGAGGGTGTTGGGGAGGTCTTGGTTTGGACAGTCAAAAGGCCTGAGACAAAACCTATGTGCCATGTCCGAGTTCATACCGACCACAACGGAAGCTTTGATGCAAGAAAAGGAGCTTTGATGTGAGTGTGAGAAAAAAAAAGAAGGCCTGGGGTTCATTCAGGTCTTGCTCCTATCACAAGCAGAAGAATGTTCTTGGCAAAAGCCGTCCGAGTCCAGGCGCAGGCTGTGCCTGTAGGGGAGTTGTTCCTAGCACTGCCCTCCAGTGGCATCATCTTGCTGGAGCAAGGACACATGGATGTCAAAGGCCACCACTCAAAGCACCAAGCTCAAAGATCTGGTCGTTTTTCTCACCATGATCAGGTTTCCCTTTTAGACAAACAACAATCTAGTCCTAGGTGCAACACGTGTTTGCTGGTTTCTCGACTGGTTCTCAATCTGTTGAAGCCCATTTCTGGGAGTCCATCTTTTTGTTCGGCCCAAACGGCAAGAGAAACGATAGCGGTGCCATCTGGCCGTCCCAAGTGTCGTGCCATCTGCCTCGACATCTCCACACCAGTGGCAATGGCGGCTCTCGCGGCGGAAGTCGAAAAATCTGCAGTTCATAAAGAAGCAGTTCTCCGCGCATTCCTGGAACAAGCACCACCACTACACATGTTGCTGAATGCCAATACACATGTTGCTGGAGCTCTAGGGAAAAGATTGAAAAAGGCGTTGGGGTTTGGGGTGGCAGCAGAGGTCGTGCCGCTTTGGCTGGTGTTGGTCCACAAATGACAACCAATATCCGCTTTGTTGTGGAACATGCTCCATACTCACCTGCCCTGACTGTCTAAATCCAGGCAAGTCGTGACCTCAGTGACAATTGCTGTGGTGACAACCATACGATCGCCTTTCCAAGCACTGAACTTACCATCATGGCTTAAGGAAATGTTCCTTTCAACAAACCCGAACACTCACCAAATCAGTCAATCTCGGTTGCCTGTTCCCTTCCCAAAACAGTCGGCACCTTTGGCGCCCACTGTATGAAAGGGGTGCAGGGGGGGTGCAGGGGTTTTATCGCCGTGGCGGGACCGTCCAAAGTGTCCGGCGCCTCTAGGCTGCTGGTGGGACGAAGCCAATGGCGAGCTCCATTGCAAATGTGCCCAGGCTGTTGAAACCTGGACACGACCGCGTCCATCGTGGGTGTCGCGCAGTTCGTGATCCGGATCACCCCGAGCTGCGAGCCCACGGAGGTCTCGCCCGGGAAGAGGGAGGCAATGAGGACAAAGTGCAGAAAGCGATGGTTCGAGACTCAACAAGTTCTGGTCACAGTACTTTTGAGAAAGAAGTGTACAAATAAAAGCAAGAGCTCAAATTAAGTGAGCAGCGAGGTGTCGACTGGTGGTCTGCTGAAATCAAGGAGAGCTCAACGGCTTATAGGCTTCAACCGGTTAGAGGAGTGCAGTCGGAAACTTGTCCCAGCCAAGCTTCTCAGTGTAGGCCATGATGTCCCAAGCTTTCTTGGTCTTGCGGCCCACAGTGGCAACCGTCGTAGCATTCCTCAGTGCACCCAGAGCTGGCATGAGCTTGCCCGCAACTTCTCACACTCAAGCCACAAGGACCATTTTCATGGTCAATCCTCCCATTCTCCCTGTCGCCCACCTCACCCAACCGTTCCCCAACCGCCTACCCGAAATCGAGGTCCCGCTCCGGTGAAGGCTGAACCGCCCTCGACGGACAGAAATCCCGAAGAGAGCGGCTTCTTCGACTGGGACTCCGGACCCAGAGAACGGGCCGATCCCCTCAGCAGCTTCCCAAGCCTCGGAAGAGAGCTCGTGGAGCGAAGAAGGGGAAGAAGGGTGGGTCCTGTAGGCGACTGCCGGGTGCACAGGTGGAGCGAACCAGCCAAAAATGGAGTTGCGATCTCAAATGATCGAAGGTCCTTCAGTCCTTCAAATCGACCTCCTAAGACCGCCTGTGCTGGAACGAATCCCATTCTTTAGCTATCAACTTGAGAGAGGAGGGGGTGAACGAAAGGTAGCAGGCAATCCTGGTAGAAGTCCATGACGGCGTCAAAGGTGGATGGATGTGACCCGGCGCAGGGGGGCAATGATGAACAGAATCATTACTTACAGGACCAATTTGAAAGCACAATCCCAACTCCAGATTGTAATACATTTTTGCTAAAGCAAGGAGAACTCAGGTAGCTCAAGCTACCTTTCGTGAATAGTCTTGGAAAAGCTTGGCAAAGTGGATGAACAGGCTTCGATTAGATGATATGGAATGAACATGATTTGACCAAATCTTCGGGAGATCTGCTGGAAAAGTATGTGCCAAACTTGAAAAAGCTGGAGGTCCTGTTGATGGCACTGTGACCATCGCACAAAGAAAGGTCCACGAGTTTTAGGGACAGACGCACGCACACACAAATCCTCTTGTGGAAAGTTAGTGGGTCGTTAGTGCTTGTCTTGTTAGTGCTTGTCTTTCCCAGCAATGCGTGTTTGTCTTTCTCAGCCCGCGGCACTCACTCCCTTGATCTGGGTCCACAGCGAGACCAGGCGAAACCAGTCACTCTCTGACATGGCCGAAACCATTTCAGTCGTAACGACCCGAAGACGCTGCCCCCTCGGGCCCGCACCGCTGCCCAACTTCCGACCGCTAGGCGCTTAGGCCAGTGGGACGGGCGTTGAGCAGTCGCGCCGGGTGTGCACTGCAAGACCTGAGAGCTGAGCAGCTGAGAGAGAGATCTTAGAGATCTCAAAATAGGCCAAACTGGTGGATCTTGATGGTCAATCTTCAACAGTCCCTGGCTGGATGTGATGGCTCGTCTGTGCTTCTTTCCCGCACCAGGTTAGGTCGGATCCCTTCACAACAAGTCGAGACCGCCAGGTCTCGCCCAGCCGTGCCTGCGTGTTCCCCAAATCCTCAATGTCCTGGCTTTGGTGAGAGTCATGTGAGTGTCATGCGCGCAGTGCGCTGTTTTTGGTCCAATGTTCGACTCTGAGACCTCTGACACTGGACACTGCCTGTGCGTTTTTTCTTTCAGCGAAGGATTCTCCATCCCTGTATATAATCCTAGGATTCAAACACTACACCACCAATTCAGCCGTTCTTTTAATGGTCTTTGAAGGCTAGGGATAATATACATCTGGTCCTGCAACTCCCAAAACTCCGGCACCCTTCGTGCCCCAAACCCGTGCTTCGGCGACTTCGGGTCCTCAACGATGCAAGGCACACCGTCAAGGAGCACCTTGCCAGGAGCAGCCCACCCGTGGGACTTGAAGCCCATGCAACGGGTGAGCCGAGTAGAAGAACGGAGGAGCGGGGCCCAAAGCACATTCTACTCGGGTCAATGCTTGAAGCCTGATAGTTCTGAATTTTTGTTCTAGTGCATCTGAGGTCTCAGTCAAAGGCCCTATCACCTCTCCCCCTTCACCTCCCCATCTCCCATTAAAAAAAGTTACAGAAAAAATCGTAAAGACTCCGCCCCATATACATGCAGCCTGCACAGCAAGCTTACGGCACCTCCAAAGCGCGCACAACCAGCTTGACACCAGCACCGGCACCCTGTCTCGACAGTGCACATTGGCTGACAACACCGGCAGCGGTACCAGCATCCGATCAGCGCCGCCGCCCGTCTCAAACGCGTGCTCAGCCAGCTCACAGCACCAGCACCCAGGACCACAACACCACACCAGCACCGACACCCTCTCGAAAGCGCGCACCTCCAGCTGTCTCCAGCTCATTCTTATTTGAAGTAAGAACCCCATAGGTATCGCTATCTGGGGAAGAACAGCGTATGATCTTGTGTGTACAAGTTTATGCGCACAAAAGTATGACGCAAACAGCAAAGCCCGTAAGTGTCACTGGCCCAAGGCCAAGCAGTATCCAGCGCCACTATTGACGTTGTAGCATGCTTGAAGCAACGATCTGTAAAACGATAACACCGTGTATGATCTTGTGCGTACAAGTCTATGCGCACAAAAGTATGCGCACAAACAGCAAAGCCCGTAGGTTTCACTCGCCCAAGGCCAAGCAGTATCCAGCACCACTATTGAGTCTGTAGCATGCTGAAACAATGGTTGGTTGAGAGCCTGACGTTGCGCATATAACTTTGTGCGTACAAAAGTATGCGCGCAAACAGTACAGCCCTTGACACAGCCGTCGGCCAAAACAGAACCTGAAGAGTGTAAATGCCCCACAGCGCCAATAGACAAAGAACGCTCAAGCACAGGTACCAGCACCGGCACCCAGCACCGGTACCCTGTCTCCACCACACCCACAGCCAGCTCACGGCACCCAGCGCCAGCACCACAGCCAGCACCAACACCCAGCACCAGCACCCTGTCTCGAAAGCGCGCACAGCCTGCTCATTGTTATTTGAAGAATATAAGAACCCCATAGCTGTCGCTATCGGGGAAAGACCGCCGAACCACGTTCTCCCACCCAAAAACGCGCTTCTCCCCCGTCATCGCACCTGATGCCGTCCGGCAAAATCGCCTTTGCCGATGAAGACGCCGTCGGCCTCCACGAAGACGGGTGCTCCTCCCAGTCTTCCGACCTCCATCGACGGGTTTTGGGCGTGTGAGAACTCGTCAGGTGCTCCAAGAGAAAAAGGCTCTCGAGTTCGGTCCAGGAACGTGCTTTGGGATGGGCTTCCCGGTTCCTATCACCCCCAGGGAGGGTAAACGGAAGTGGTGGGTTGGCTTGGGGCATGACTTGCCGGGTGGTTTGGAGGAAAGGCCTTATTGTTTGGGTCTCGGCAGTTTGAGTGTGCTCTCAGTCTTTCCAGTTTGACCTAAGGGCAAAAACATAGGTGCCAAGGTCTAATTGCCGATGCATAGGTGTGACAAATTGCCGAGCCCGGGCTCGGATGCAAAAATCACAGAACGACGCAAGACTTGCAAAATTCCGGAGGAAAATGCTGACGCTCCTTGAACTTCCGTACCTGCCACGAAAATGCCAAGCTCCTGTCCCGCCTGCTTGGTCCTCAAGGAATGCATCGTTGGATACACCTGACATGCTCATAGCTTGAGAGGAAGAAGAAGAAGAAGAAGCAGGAGGAGGAGGAGGAGAAGAAAGAAAGATCTTTCCTCTGTAAGATTTGTGCAAACACATGAAAACATGAAGCTTCGCCATTATGCGCACACTCCCCCGTTCCTCTTGTTCACAAAGAACGACGAGTGAGGCATCCCCGCGTTCCCCGCGTTCCACTCTCAGCAAGCCACTCAGCTATATCTTTTGAAACTCTTTTCGCTCAACGCGATCTTTCCAGTGAAACCATTGGGCAAAATTTGCCCCACTGAACAATCCATCGGTGAAAAGCACCAAGGTGAAACGAAATCTGCTGAATTCAACATGCAAATGTGTGAGCTTCAGGTATCCTGAATGTTTTCACAAGATCCCAACTCAGCTCACTTTTCACACCTAATCTACACCTATCTCTACTCCTAACACCTATTTGCATCCATCCACCCTACTCCGCCCCCGCCTCCAACACATTGGGCATATGCGTCCGGTGCGGCGGCCGCAGCAGCCGCTGCTCCGGCTCCTCCGCCGCCTTCACCGCCGCCGGCACGTCGCTCTTCAGCGAGTCGAAGCCAGACAGCGGCATGGGCCCCGACCCGGCGCCCGCGGTGGCGCTCGAGGCGGTGCGCGGCTCGGTGGCAGGGGCCCTAGAGCCCACCTGAGGGGGTTGAAGAAGCCACACGGGAAAGGAACTGCTTTTTGGGTGGCTTTGTTGGTGATTTTTGGGGGTTGATATAGACTTGGTACTTTATGAGCAGGAATGGAAATGCGGGCGACCCGTGGGTGAGGGTCGAGGCTGGTGAGGCTGGTGGCTGGAGAAAGAACTGTTTAAGGAGAGTGTTTTTCACTTGAGATTGCGTGAATGTCTTGCTCATGCATGCCTTCAACGGATTCAACAAATGCTTGCGTCTAGTATCTGCCGTGAGTGTGAACCCTGTGAATCCAAACACGCCCAGCCTCCAGTGGTTTGGCTTCAACATACTCGTTCTCTAGAAGCCTGACAGCGCAGAATCGGATGTCTCAGCAGATCAATCGTATGTCTCGTTGATCACTCGGTGTGTTGTTCTGCGATCGAAGACGAGATGCCACCCCCTGGCTGCATCGGACGAGAGGTTCTTCCTCCAGGGCACTCGTCCACTGCTCCGTTGTTCGAATGCTCCGTCGGGTCTTGGGGGTGTGTTGTCATGATGTTTTGCCGGGCCGAAATGGTCCCGAAATCAAAGAACCCCAAGTTCATGGGCATGATTTGCTTTGAATGCCGCATGCCTGACATTTCCCAGTCGTTTTTTCCCTGGTCTTCCCCCATCTTCGGTGTCCTCTGGAGACTCTCCACTCGCAACAGCCCAACAGAGGGAAAAGAAAGACTACCAATGAGTTGATCCAGAAAGGTCCACCTCTGTTCCGACACCGGTTCCTTCCTTTTTTGCGTTGGAACCGACACCGGTCCATCTGGAAATCGCCACCTCCCCTGCTCAACGAGGCGCTCGTTGGTGGTCTCCACAATCTTCGCCACATCCATCGAGCTGTGCGGAACGCCCTCCGCGCCCACGTCATCCATGTTGGGCACACGCCGAGGGCTTTGCCTCATCCGCTCACCTGCACCGGCGCAGTTCGGCGCGAGGTCTGCTCTTTTTGGCGGCGCGGAGCCATAAAAAAGAGACATGCGGCACTTCTTCTTGCGCGCAACCAATGATACTTGCTTGGACGATCAGCCCAGGAGTGAGCTTCCTTTGAATGGATGGTACTTGGCTTTCCAAAATGTTGGAAGCCAGGCAGCCAAAATGTTTTTGGTCGGACCCCAGGACACCCCAACACACATCGTGTCACACATCCAAACCACACCGAAACTTGGTCCCCTCAGCGTTTGGACCGTGCGGTGCGGACCGTCGTTCGGCCGCGGTCGAGACCGCGGTGGACGTGGAAGTGTTTGGGTCGAAGCCAGATGGAAGTGTTTGTCTACTATGTAGAAGATCGAAAAAGATCACTACACAAACAGAAAACGAGCAATGCACAGGAGGGTGCGCTGGTTCCTCCAAAAACAGAGTGCCTCTTCTTTGCAAGGGCTCATAAAAGAGCCCGTCACGCAACCAACAGCTACAGCTCGCCAGCATGACGATGCCCTGTTGAAATTTTTTGAGGATCCAAGTATAGGCTAGGCTCGAAGGGGGGCGCGCCGATACGCGGCTCCAAAGAGTGCAACGAGGTCCTGTTGACCGAACTGCAGACTGCTGAGGTCCTGCCTGTTGCGAAGTTGTGGTAGTACTTCACCTGAACAGCACTCTGCTCAGCCAAAGTAAACGGATATGTGACATGTGGCACATGTGGATCTGTGAACGACCTGTGGCTTCATTTAGAAGTCAGGGGAGGATGGAGCACCCGTGGATGTTTCTAAACCCAAGGCTGCAACCGCTGTATCCCTGGCCTTCCAAGACAATTAAAGTGGTTGACCTGGTTCTGTAGTGTAAAATCCTTGGTAAAACAATGGTTGTTCGGTAGAGCCCATTAACTGATGTTGCTTGGAATCCTAGGGGTGTGCTTGGCAGGTGTTCACTACCTGCTATGGACCCTGGCCCTACCCCTCTGCTATTCACTCTCTGTCTCCTCCAAGTGACCCCTCTGGCATCGTAAAAGGGATGCCAATCTGTGCTCAAAACAGATTCATAAGCAGCATCGTCAAGAGCGGGGATCTCTTCTGGCTGTACTGCGATCTTCTTGACCCTCTCCTTTGCAAACTCTGCATAGCGATTGTACCTCACTGAATCCAGACACATAGACCGCACAAAAACAGTCAGAGGAATGGAAATCTGACGTGCTGAACACCTCGAGTAGATCTACTTGCCATCCGACTGAGAAGACACGGGTCGTCTTGGTCATGTCTATTCTCCCTTTGACCTCAACCACCTGCAAAAACTGCCCATCAAGCACACAGCTTCCCAAAAAAGAGGCCAGGTGTGCACACGATACCCGATCAGATCACCGCTGCCCAGAAAAATGAGTTGAAATGTCATTGTCAACCTTTTGACACAGCTGTTCATCTCCGAAATGGCCCTGTCTGAGTTTTTACACATGTTCATTCACTTCAAAAATCAAGCAAGGCACTGCTCCACATAGTTGATTCTGCGTGGTTGGTTTTCTTTGCCATCCAGCGGAAGCATTTTGATATGACTCATCGCATAGCACTTGTGGCACAAGGACTTGTCTGTAAAGGTACAATGTATCCTGAGAATTCGATGAAGCTTTGGAGGTGCGCAACTGGTCAACATCCACGGGATGAAGGGCAGGTTACACACTTGTATCACTATTTTGTGACAACAAGCAGGACATCGTGAGGGCAAGTCATTCATTGGTTAGATTGGGTCATCGTTGCAATTGTTTTCACCATGGTGTCTACCTTGTTTCACCGAGGTGCTTGGCAGGGAGCTGGACACAAAGAGCACAGGGCACCAGACAGAAGGGCGCATGCTCCTTGCGAGAGCCCTTGCTATGCAAATCCGCATAGCATTTGAGGCAAAGGTAATCCTGAGAAGGTTGCAGGGTCTAACTGTCTAACACAAGAATTCGCGAGGAATGATCAAACAACGGGCCATAGTGTTGGGTTTGTTGGGTATGCACATGTTGGGACAGCCTGACAATCTCCGTCAGTCCAACCGGTGTTATCGGTGTAACCGGTCTTTATAGCGGGTGTAGTCGGTGGTTACACCGGTGTCATCAGTGTTAAGTGTGATCGATGTTTGTAGCCAAATGGTGGGACACGACACTGACCCGGCCAGTCGGTGTAAACCGTCTCCGTCTCCCATTCTTCGTCCTCCCCCAGTCCGGTGCTTCCCGGGCTCTTTGCATTCCAAGCAAAAGCTCAAGGCCACGATTTTGCCTTGGAACAAAAACCGGTGCTTTGCACAGAAAGGCCAGCCTTCCCAATTGGGCCAACTCCCCGCAGGTTTTTTGGCCTGGAGGCCTGGAAACGTCGCCAACACACAAAATACAACATGTGGAAGACGGTTTCTACACCCAGGTGCAATCTGCTTTCCACAAACACCCATGTTGCTAGTTCAATCAGAACCGTGTTGGGCAACTTCATGGCAGCAAAAATGGTCTTGATCCACCTCCGCATGCCGATATCGTCCGTATCGATCGCAAGGTTTGAAAACTCGGACTCTTACTTGCCCAGCCACAATTGACGCAATACATTTCGCCCGCAGCGAGCTTGTTCAGGTCAAACTTCACGTCATCTTTGACCTCTCAGTGGCTTTGACTCAAGTGCATCGACAACAAGAAGGCCTTTTTGTAATTGACGAAACCAATGTGAGCTAGGTTGGAGGCCATTCACTATTGGGTTGGAGGCCATCGCTAGTAGGTTGGATTGAGTAATGAAGGGCCATTCACTGTCATCAAAAATGAGAGTTTTGCTCCACTCCTTCAGTCCGGAGCTTGGGAAAGGCTTTCACCGCCATGGTTCAGTCCGACGCCACGACGTTCTGTTTTGCCACACGCCACACGCGCCTCGCTGGACCAATGGGTGACCATCTCGCTGTATTTGGCCACATCCCGTTGCAGCATTTCATCGCACTCGTCGATCAGACTGATGTCCTCAGTGACATGCGTGTTGGGCCTGTTAGGCATTTCTTGCACGGAAAAGAAAAGGCTGAAAACCTCCCCCTAAGCCCCTTCGTGGACCTTTGGATTTCTGCTCTTCATCTTCCAGCATTCAACCCTTAGCCTCTTGGCAACATGTCTTGCTCACAGTGGCACAGAAGAATAAGCTACTAAGCATTTCAACCTTCCTAGACCCCTCTGCACTGGCAAGCATCGATGTCCTGCTTGCTTCGATACGCTTTGGCAAAGACCTTCAACTGCGCCTGTCCGGTCAGAAGTATCACCTTTCACTAACTGTTCGATCGGTCTGCGACCAGGTCGTATTCCGAGGTCCCTGGACATTTTAGCAATTGGCACCAAGAAGGAAACAATCCTAGGCTTGGATGGATGACTC